TATATATATATATATATATATATATATATATATATATATATATGTATATATATATATATATATATATATATATATATATATATATATATATATATATATATATATATATATATATATATATATATGCGCATGTTCGTATGGATGTGTGTGAATGTGTGTATACATGTGTGGGTAGGTGTGTTTGTGCACACATGTATAAATACATGTATCCATATATAAGTGTTAATATATAGATATGTGTATATATATACAAATATTTATGAATATGCATCTATATGTATATGTATACATAAATATGCCCATATAGATGTATTCATTAAATATGTGTGTGAGTGTGGTTGTGTGCATATTTGTATATATGGTGTGTGTGTGTGTGTGTGTGTGTGTGTGTGTGTGTGTGTGGGTTGCGCACATATACACATATAGAAATACATGTGTCAATATCTATGTTTGTATGTGTGTGTGTGCATGCGCCCATAGTGATGAATTCATATATATATATATATATATATATATATATATATATATATATATATATATATATATATATATATATATATATATATATATACATGTAAATATATGTGTGTTTATGCTTATATGAGTGTGTGTATGTATATGTATATATATATATATATATATATATATATATATATATATATATATATATATATATATATATGTATATACATATATATATATATATATATATATATATATATATATGTATGTATGTATGTATGTTTATATATGCATGTATAAAAAAGTATGAATGAAATGAATATCTTCACAATATGAGATATAAGTAAATCTTTTATATTGTGAAGATATTCATTCTCATTCATACCTTTTTCTATATTTGTCAACATAAATACGGTTCATATATATATGCTTGTAGGCACATACACACACACAAACACACACACACACACAATATGAATATATATATTCATATATATGCGTGTGTATGTACATACCGTTGAATGGTTCTTATCCTTAATATGTCATTCAAACGATGTGTGTTTGTGTGTGTGTGGTTCTGTATATATATATATATATATATATATATATATATATATATATATATATATATATATATATTATATATATAATACATGTGTGTGCGCGCTCCCGCGCGCAAACACAAAGAGATATGTATATATGTTTGTATACATGTATATACATACATGTGTACATATATACATATATGTATGTGTCCATATATATGTATTCATATATGTATATGTATATATTCATAAATACATATGTTCGTTTATATATATATATATATATATATATATATTATATATATATATATATAATACATATTCTATGTATGTCCAAAAAAAAAAAGTGAAGATAAACTCTTAATGCCCAAAACACGCTAACAAAACCATTGTATTGTGGTAAAATTGATATATATTTTCATGTGTAGAACCATTTCACTCGACATATTTGTCCTGCATCTGTTGTTTCTGTCGACCGGTTGATAAGTCTCGCGGCTCATCTGGGCGATAAAGTCCTCTCGGGTCAGCCCACACCGCATGGAGAAGTTGCACAGATAGAGGGGCGCGTGATTGGACTTTATTCCCAAATGAGTTGGCGAGACGCGGGCCTTCCAATCACCGCTGCTCTAATCTGTGGAATTTCTCTTTGCAGGATGTGGCGCTTGACGGCGACGCTGCTGCTGCTGGCTCTGGCCTCGGCCGAACCCCAAGGATATAATTACGAGGAACCCGACAACCAATACCTTCCTCCCGCAAAATGCAAGCTTGCTCCTGTCACCTCCGTCGTCTACAACACTCAGCTCCAAACCTCAGTCCGCCTCCAGACCGTCAATCAAGTCAACACTCAGTACAGAACCACAACCATTGTCAGGCAACAGGTGGTGCCAACCACACTTTTCCAGACTCGTGTTCAAACGCAGGTCCAGTATCAGACCAGCGTTGTTCAACAAACAACCGTTCGTGCTGTTGACAGGTTTGTCACCCAGACCGTTCCAAGTCCACCTGTTGTACAAACGCGTTTCGTCACTTCAACCCGTGTGGTGCCACAGGTCAACTATGTCACACGTACACAGGTGCAGACACAGGTTGTTCCTGTAGAGGTGACCAGCACTCAGGTCCGGACTATCATCCAGCCTCTTACTAATTATCAGACACAGGAGCGTCAAGCAACCCGTGTCGTCACTGTCCCAGGCCGTGACGTTGTACAAACTCGTGTTCAGACTGTTGTTCAGACCTCCATTGTCAGGAGCCAACAGCCAGCTATATCACCCGTTTTGTAACATCCACACGTGTGCAACAGGTTGTCCAGACATCTGTCGTCCGTGGACAGGATGTTGTTAGAACTACTGTTGCTCAGCGTCAACAGGTCATTCCTTTCACATCTGTTAACACTCGTTATGAGAATGTCGTTGCTACTCGTCAACAGGTGGTGACGAGAACCAATATTGCTACCCAGACACGCATCCTCACACAGGTGGTACCTCAAGAGGTGGTACGTACTCAGGTGGTTCCCACCACCATCTACACCACTCTCTTCGAGACAAGGGTTCAGCCCTTCACACGGGTGCAGACCGTTGTCAGGACCCAGTACGTCACACCGGTCCCCGTGGTACAAACCCGTCAGGAAGTCCGAACCTCTGTGGTCCAAGTACCCGGCCAAGACCGCGTCGTTAACCGGAGGTGGTGCAGACCCAACAAAGACAGGTCGTGTACCGCACAGTCAACCAGCCTCGCCAAGTTACTGTCACTCAACAGTTACTTCCTTTGTGGTTAATTTTACTTCCCCATTTTTTAGAGAAAAGCTAAATGATTTCCATCAAAGTGAATGAACCTCAGCAAACTTTTTCAGCAAATCTCTTAATATTTCGCTTCCCAGTGAGCTCTGTATTAATGTAAATGTGAAATACATACCGATATACTTTTGCTACAGTTTTATTACTTCCTTTGCATAAGATATACACTATATTACAGGCACTCCATGGTAAGTATCTTCATATTTCCGTATTTTCTATGCCATTTTTTTTTATGAAAGTCCAATCTATTGTAGGGGATATGCAACTTAACGAAATCAAGTTATTCCTATCATATTTCTATATTCATTCCCTGTCAGTTTTTATGTTTCGCTTTTAACTCAACTAGTGTAATGTTAACATGTATTCCTTAGGATGAGACGCTGCTGCTTTCCCTGCTGGTCGGCTGCGCCTTCGGGGCGTCCGTCGAGAGGCCTCGCCGTCAGGTCTTCGGAGCTCGCATTAACCTCGAGTCCTCCTATCTGCCGCCAAAGGAAGAAGCTGACTGCAAGCCATCTGTCGTTTACCGCACGCAGGTTCAGTATTCCACCGTCGTCGTCCCATCAACCGTCTACAAGACAAACGTCCAGTACATCACACAAACATCCGTCCGCACACAGCAAGTCCTCACCACCTTATACTCACAGATCGTCCGCACTCAGCAGGTTCCTTCAGTGCGATACCAAACGATCACTGTCACTCGCACTCAGGAAAACCTACGCACACAGGTCGTCACTCTTCCTCCTCAGGTCAACTACGTGACTCGTACTCAGCAGAGTGTCAGGACCCAAGTGCAGTACCAGACAAGGTATGAGACTCGCATCCAGCAGGTACCTACCACCATTGTTAGAAACGTCGTCTCAACACAGGTGGTACCTCAGCAGGTGGTCAGCACCGTCTACAGAACACAGACGGTTATAAGGACACAG